TAGCCCAGCAGAGTTTATTTAGAAATACAAACACACACACAGAAAATAAATACATTTATCAATATTTTTAAAGAGAAATTATCTCTATTTTTTCCCCATATACAGATTTTAAATTTTCATGTAATGAAATTTATTAATCTTTCAAGTATTTTCCTCTCTGCTCCATTAGTCCATGATTAAAAATTATTTGATATAAACTTTGAATTCCATCCTCTAATTGAAGGATTCTTTTAAAAAAAAAAAAAAAGATTGATTGATTGATTTGAAAGGCAGAATTAGAGAGAGCTTCTGTATGCAGTTTACTTCCCAAATGGTTGCAATAGCTAGGACAGGGCCAGTCAAACCAGGAGCCAGGAATTCTACCCTGGCCTCCCACATGGGTGGCAGGGCCCCAGTACTTGAGCCATCATGCACTGCTCCCATGGCCTTAGCCGGAGGTAGCCAGGACTCCAACCAGGCACGCCACTATGGGATGCAAGGGTCCCCAACTGCAGCTTAACCCTTACCCCACAAAGACCACTCCTAATTTTGTTTTTAGAAGCAAGCTTAAAATTTTTATAAAATCAGAGATTTGTCTTTCTAAGTCTGTGACACTGTTTAGTCTTTACGTTCAGAAATTTGAAAAGCTAACTTCAACGAAGTAATCGATACCTTTTTCCTGGCAGCTGTCAATGCTTGTGGGAGGATTAGGGTGTCTTAGATGGCATAGCCAATTCTATATCTTACAACGTAAAATTATCTGACTTGCTCTAACCACTTGCTATTTGAACTTCAAAGGGATTTAAACAAATAAGTAACAAAATACTGTACTTGTTTTGGTGTGAGGAAAAGAGCTCTTGGTTGTTATAGCTACTGCCCACTAAGGCAGCCTCTTTGTCTGTTTTGTCTGCTGTAACAGAATACCTGAGGCTGGGTAATGAACAGAAATGCATTAGCTCCTGGTTCTGAAGGCTGGGAGGCCACGACTGAGGGGCTCACATCTGGTGGGCGCCTTCTTCTGCCTCGTAGCCTGGTGCAAGGCACCACTGGTGAGAGCAGGCATGAGAGGGGAGAGGCTGAGTACCTCCCTTTCTAACTGCACTCCTGCACTCACAGCTCTCCTGACCTGACCCCCCCCCCCCCATTAAAAGGCCCACACATTGCACTGGTGGATAAATTTCCAGCACAGAAATTTTAGGGGGCACACTCAAACCTTAGCAGGGGGGCCAGCGCTGTGGTGTAGTGGGTAAAAGCCACTGCCTGCAGATTATGGATGGATGCCTGCTGGAGTCCTGGCTGCTCCACTTCTGATCCAGCTGTCTGCTGTGGCCTGGGAAAGCAGTAGAAGATGGCCCAAGTCCCTGGGCCCCTGCAGCCACGTGGGAGACCCGGAAGAAGCTCCTGGCTCCTGGCCTTGGATTGGCTCAGCTCCAGCCGTTGTGGCCATTTGGGGAGTAAATCAACAGATGGAAGACCTTTCTCTCTCTCTCTCACTGTCTATAACTCTACCTCTCAAATAAATGGTAAATAAATACTAAGTAACAAGCAGGAGTTGGAACTGTCAATACAAACATCACTAAACTGTTGAAAATATTCTTCATTACCAAGTAAGAATTGTCTTTTCGGTTACTTATATATAAGCATCGACTAAGAATACTGTAATAAACTCTAAAGTTAATAGTCATCATTAATTCTCAAAAGACAAACCAGGGGCTGCTGCCTGAGATTCCGTTATCCCATACTGGCACCAGTTTGTGTGTCCTGGCTGCTCCACTTCGGATTCAGCTCCCTGTTAATGGCCTGGGAGAATCTAGAAGATGGCCCAAGTGCTCGGGCTCTTGCCACTGACTTGAGAGACCTGGAAGAAGCTCCTGGCTTTGGCTTGGCTTCTCTCTGTGACTCTTTCAAATAAATAAATCTTTTTTTTTTTTTTAAAGAAGGCAATCTGTTCTACAAAAAAAAAAAAAAATCTTTTAATAGAATTACGAGGAAACATAGTAGTGAGGTGGCTAGAGCCCCTCTCGTTCTGAAGTGACCCCAGGAATCGGGCCCACAGCCGTGACCAGTAAATGTTTGCCAAGTGCATGGAAGTAATTCCAGAGTGGGATAATCCATTGTAATCAAAGCAGTCGGCTTACCTACAGTGTCTGGCTATGAGGCTATCTTTTTTTTTTTTTATCTTTTATTTAATGAATATAAATTTCCAAAGTATGACTCATGGGTTACAATGGCTTCCCCCAACATACCGTCCCTCCCACCCACAACCCTCCCCTTTCCCACTCCCTCTCCCCTTCCATTCACATCAAGATTCATTTTCGATTATCTTAATATACAGAAGATCAGCTTAGTATACCTTAAGTAAGGATTTCAACAGTTTGCTCCCACACAGAAACATAAAGTGAAAAATAATAGATGATTTTTTTTAAATGATGATGAAATCAGATCAGACCTATTGTCATGTTTAATCCCAGTGAGAGTCAAGTTGGGAATTGATAATTTCTTTTTTTTCTTTCTTTCTTTCTTTTTTTTTTTTTTTTTACAGAAGATCAGTTTAGTGTACATTAAGTAAAGATTTCAATCGTTTGCACCCACATAGAAACACAAAGTGAAATATACTGTTTGAGTATGAGGCTATCTTATTGCAAGATATATTTTTCAAAACTTTTGAGAACTCATGAGTTCAACATAGCATTAAAGGCATTAAAAGAATTCTCAGACATTGCAGCACAGTGAGTTGACGTGCTGCTCGTGCCGCCTGCGTGCCATACTGGAGTGTCTGGCTGGAGTCCTGGCCACTCTGCTACAGATCCACCTTCCTGCCAGTGAGCTCAGGAGGGAGCAGATGATGGCTCAAATTCTTGGGCGCCTGCTACCCACGTAGGAGACTTGGATGGAGTTCGTGCCTCCTGGCTTGGGCCCGGCTTAGCCTAGTCTTGGCTGTTGCAGCCATTTGGAGAGTGAACCTGCAGATGGTATATCTCCTCTTTGTGTCACTCTGACATTCAAAGAAATAAATCTTACAAGCAAAACAAAACAAAAACCCAGTTATTTTCCTGGTATGTTGTAATTCAATGTAATTTCTATTTCTTCCCTTGTTTCTCTGTATCCCTCTTTTCCTTTGGATGAAAAAGAGCTATTTAGGTAATACTATTTTAAAGTAGTCCATTAATGAGCTATCGGCCCTAGGTAGGGCCAGCCGTAACAACATGTTCAAGCAACAAAATGAACAAAAGAACCTTTGGAATGCACCTGGTTTCTCAAAAATAGCACGTGGTCGTTAAAAAAAAAAATAGCCAAGACTCTAAGGAATTCAAATTTCTCTTTAAGGATTTTGCTACTGCCCTTCCTACAAAACCTCCCCAGATTACTTCTTGACCTCTGTGGGGCGAGCACAGGAAGTCTTGATACATGATAGTAGCTCAGTAGCTATGTAGCTTCCAGGAGCCGTATATCCTGCACTGCCTGCACCTTCAAGCGTGCTGCAACCCTGGATTACAATGTACATGTTTACATCAACTTTCAAGACAAAGACATTTAAGGTCCTTTGTGTTCCATGTCCATTACACAGTAATTGAAGTTTACAAATTATTTTTTGGGATTCTGGTATTGAACAATAGCTGCCCGACTTCTTGTTCTCTGCGTAGCAGAATAAACTACTTTTCTTCCACCAGAAAAAAAAATCTACTTGGAACTTTCACATTTTCAGAGGCATGTAATAATTAGAAGTTAATTTTGGAGGGTTTTTCATAAACCGAGTCAGTATCTGAGACCGCCAAGGACAACTTTTAAAATTGTCTTCAAAACGAGGGAGGCACAGACTTCCCCCTGGGGTCCAGGTTGTCCATGAAGTTCCTGCGACCAGTCCTGGTCACTCGGTTAGGATGAGGGCTGCTTCCTGTGGGTCAAGCTGACCCTGCACGTGCAGAGTGACTTAGGTCATCTATCAGACTGCGAGGCTGCGGGAGCCCGCGATCGAGCTGCGGTCCGCAGGAGCACACTGCCCACTGCCCACGGACGGACCCAGGCCCTGGAACAGGGAAGCCAGACGCCGCGAGGGAGCCCCTCTCCTGGGCGAGGCGTGGGCCCTGCGGGAGCTCCGCTTGCAGGTGCAGGACCTGAGGAAGAAGCAGCCGCGGGGGCTCGGGCGCTTCCGCGTCGGCGGCAGGCACTGGCTGTGTCACACCCGCGTTTCCCAAGTATCGACCTAACTCCGCGCGTGGACACTGGCCGGCACGGCTGACCGTCTCACGTCTGCGGCTGGGGACTAGAATGCCGTTTCTGGGACGAACAGCCTTTCCCCGCAGCCTCCCGCGGCCTGGGGCAGGTGCCCCGCGCACCGGAGCAAGGTGACTTCCGCGAGGGGATCCTCCGGGCGTGGGTGCGGGTGCACAGAGCCTGCGCGTCCCCGGCTGCGTCCCCATACGAGCACGCCCGTTCGTGGCGTGGTCTCCGAGTTGCACGAGTTGGGGTGCGTGGGCTACCCTGGGGGAGAGGGGCCAGCGGGAGCCGGCGGCCACACGCGCAGTCCAAGCGTGACCGCGCGGACACGGGCTCCCTGCGGGCTCCGGGGGACTCGCGCACGCGTTTCCAAAAAGCTGCGAACACGCAACTTGCAGCCAAACCGAGGCAGCGTGTGCACTCTGCCCGCGCGCTGTCGCAAGTCACAGGTGCCAGCAAAACCGGCCTCCAACACTCCGCGCTCCCCACGCCCACCCCCGCCGCGGCCCACGGGTCCACCGCGTCCCGCCGCGGGCGTTTGTTTACGCGACGTTGCCGTAGTAAGCAGGCCCCGCCCCCGCCGCCCGCGGGCCGCCGCGTTTCCCGCGCCGCGGCGCTTCTCCCCTTAAAAGGACAATAGAGGCCCCGGGAGCGCGCGCGGCCGCCTCGCCTCCTCCCCGCCCCGCCCGCGACGCGCGCGCGCCCGCATGCAAATGAGCCCGATTCAAGAGAATTTCTTGCCCCGGGAGCGCGCGTGCGCAGAACGAAAGCGGAATCTACACCTTCCCGGGCCGCGGTAGCAACTGCAGAACTGCAGGAGACAATCTTTCTAGACAAGGCGGCGGCGGCGGCGGCGGAGGAGGAGGACGGAGTGCCTGGAGGGGGCCGGCCTGCGTGCACCGCGCACCTCGGGAGCCTGATCGCGCGTGGAACGGCTGCCTCGGGAAGGTGAGCGAACTCTGACGGTCGCTGGGCTGCAGGACTGCGTGCCGAGGCTTTGATTTCCGAGTGGGGTGTCCTCTGTCTCCAGCTCACCCACCTCCCCGTCCTTGCACACACAGCCGACACGCTCACCGCACACGCACACACAGGAAGTTTTGTCTGGGAGGTGGCATGCCGGGCGCCCCGTTTCCGCGATCGCCAGCCCCCGGGTCCTTTTGTATACACGCGTCTCGGGTGCCTGCTTCCCCCACCGGGGCGGGTATCTGAGGCAAACCGAAAGTCCTGGGGTGGGGGGAGTGCGCGGAGCCTGGAAATGACCGGGGAGTCGCGGAGTTGAGGGATCCACGTTGAAGGTGACAATGACTTTTCTCCGCCGCAGCGTGCCCCGGAGGCTGCAAGGCCCGGGCGGAAAGGGACTTGCGGGGCGGCAGGGGCCGGTGCGTCCGCGTGGACGCTGGCCGGTGGCGGAGGTGGGGGGGGGACACTCCGGCGCCGCACCTCGTGGTGTAGCCCATGGCAGCCCCTCTCGCGTGTCTCGCCGAAGGGTGGACAATGAGCGCCATCCGCCCCAAAACTAAGTTGCCTTCCGCTTCCGCGAGGGGGGTTTAAATGGGCCTCTGGGTGCAGCGCCGGGCGCCTCCGGGGCGCACGCGGCACGGCGCGGTCCGCCCAAGTCCGGAGGGATGCGGCCGCGACAATGAGCCACACGCGGTCGCCCGAAGACGGCCCGGCTCCCACGCGCCCGTCGCCCCGGGGCGGTGCCCGCGCAGCCCCAAGTTGTGCCACCCGTGCGTTCACCTGTGGCGTAGGTGTGGGCGCCGCGGCGTGGCGCGGGCGCCGTCTGCGGTCCAAGATGGCCCGGGGAGCCGAGCCGGGGGCGGCCGGGTGGGGGGGTAGGAGGCAGGCAGCGGCGGCGCCGCTCGTGGGGGGACGCGGGCTGGGGGTGGGGGGGCACCGCTTTTTGTGGCCTCGGTGACAGACCACGTGCTGCGGGCTGCGGCCCTGGCCCCGCTGCGGGTTGCCCCGCTGCTCCGGAGCGGCGACCCGTCGGGCAGCCCCCGGCCCCGCAGGACAATGTGATCCGCCGATGATGGCGTCCTGCCAGTTTAAAAAGCAGAGCGAAAGTCGCCAACTCGCCCTCCGCCCGTGCCGGGGGTGCGCGATCCGGGGCGTTTCTCCTCCAGGGCGCTGCAAAAACTTTGGTTGGTGGGATGGGCCCCTGCCCCGGCGTGGCGGCCCCGCGCCCGGCCCCCGACTGGCGCTCCGACATCTGATGCCGCACGTAGGCAGCGCCCGGCTGGACGGAAAACAAAGGGCTGCATGTGCCCGTGCGGGCCCCGCCGCGGGCGCCGGCGCCGAGGCCCGTGCGGGGCGCGGCCCCCTAAGTTCGGGCGAGTTTCGGGAGGGCTTTTGTCCCTCAGCCCCTCGCGGGGAAACTTTGGCGGCGCGGCTCGTGCGCGGTGCCATGCTGGAGCACCGGAGGCGGCGTGCTTCCCCGCCCCGGCGCGGCGCGGGCGGGCGAGCGGGCGGCCGGGCGGGCGGCCGGGGGAGGCGGCGGCGGCAGCCCCCCGCGCGCCGGGCCCTGCGCCGGGGGCCGGAGGGCGCAGCCCGGACCTCTCGGCCCGTTAGCCGCGGCCCGGGAGCCTGCGTCTGGGAGGTCTGTGGCTTCGCCTTTGAAGTCGAACTGTTGCCATGTTTGAATTACGTCAGGGCAAAGCCATGAGGAGGAACAAGCCCCGGCAGCGCGGCGTGCGGGAGGCGCGGCCTGCGGGAGGCGCCGCGCCGGGCGGGCCGGAGGGCGGGCGCGGGGGGCCCGTGGTTCCGGCGCAGGTGAGGGGGGCGGCGGCGAGGGACGCGGCTCCCCGGCGGCCGCCCCGGGCCCCGCAGGAACTTCGCCCCGGGCCGCGGCCGTCTTGCTGACCGGCACATCCGCCGGCGGCCGCCGCGTGCCCGAGGTGGACCCGCAGCGTGAGGGGGAGCGCCGGGGCCGCGGCGCGCGGGCGTCTGCCCCCCGCACCGTCCGGGCCCCCGCACGTCCCGGGGACGCAGCCCCGACGCCGCCCGGAAAGGCGCGGAGGGGAAGTTTCGGGGCTCCCCGCGGCGCGGCGGGGGAAGTGAGGCGCGGGGGCGAAGCGAGCGCGCCGCGGGCTCTTTGTGTGTGGACGCGTGGGAGGCGGCCGGCGAGGTAGGTTTCGGGGCCCGTGGGTGGTGCGGGGTCCGTGCCGGCGCCCGGGATCCGCTCCCACTCGGCTCCTTTGTTGTTCCGTTCACGCGCTCACCTCCGGCTCCCGCAGCCACCCGGGAGGTGAGCAGCGACTGTCCGCCGGACAGTTGCCTCCTCGCCCCTGTGCTGTGTCCCCACTGAGGAGGGGGTCAGGAAACTCACTGCTCCGCTTTTCATAATGAAAAGAAAAAAAAAAAAGCACCTGCTTTTGGACCGGAGGGTGCCCCTGAAGCCTTTTCCTGATGCGCCTTGCAGGACCAGCACGTGCCGTTGCCCCAAACGGAATTAAATGCAAGTCCCAGAGTTGATGGTGGAGTTCCGAGAAGAGCCTGCTGGCATTTCAAGTGTTTTGGGAACGATGAGGGACCGCGGCATCTTCTCTGGCCGGGAGGGTATCGCGGTGGCTCGCTGCCTTGTCTTGGGGTGACCTTGAGGGAAGCCAGGGTTTTGGGGAGGATGACATGGTCGAGGCTCTGCAACCTGCCCCGTCTCCTCTCCGGTTCTTGTGAACCGGGCTTGACCTTCTGCTGACCCCTCCTCGCTTTTCTTTTCAAGCCAACTTTTTTTTTTATTGGTATGCGGCCCCAGGCATAGCTCAGAAATTATGCCGGTTTGACACATGGATGCTTCTTTGGAATCCGGGGTTTGCCTGCAGTCTAGACGTCCGATAAGCAGCAGCTCCGGATCTGTTGCTGCTCTCCTCATTTCTGCTGCGTTTGGGTCTTGTTGAAGGTTAGAAGTGGTCATGACTGGAAAATAATAACCTTGAATGCCCTGCCCACACACTCCCAAAAGTCCACACAAGTTCAGATACATTTTTTGTTTTGATTGTTTGGTTGTTAAAGAATTACGTTTTTCCCAAGTTTTGGTCGACCAAATTCATAATACTGAAAGGCAATCAATACTGTTAGATTTCTTAAGTGAATGCAGTGAGCATGTTAAGAAAATGAAGAACGTGGAGTGTGATTACCTTGACTTTCTTTTGGTCAGTTATTTCTGTGTCATGTCTGAAATGCATATGACGTGCTTTGCAAGTACGCTGACATTCCTTGACAAGTTCTTCCTATTTTAAAGCCAAGTTACAGCTAGAATTTCAGTATGTGGGGAAGTTTTAGTTTAGCGAATAGAGTGTAATGGTTTTTGTTTCAATAATCTGATCTGCACATCAGATGTGAGGTGAATGAGTTAGGGGAAGGAAAGAACCCGGTCGTCACTGCCTTCTGTTGGTATTACTCTGTGGAAGGTTGGGGTGAGAAGTTCTGTAGGTGCTAAGTGTGTTCTAGAACCTTCGTAGAAAGCAGGCTGCGGGGCTGCTTTTTCAGTTTTTCTAATTCTTTGTGTCTAAAACCAGGATCTTTTCCCCGCTAAAGCTGGGAAAACCTGATTCAGTGGACTCAAACTCAGTCATGTTCATGTCAGAAGAATGTTTTGAGAATGCTTTTACTTGTAAAAGAAAAGTTTTTCATTGGTGAAAGTTTAAAATTATTTGAAACCTAAACTAACTTAAGGAAGCTGTTATTTAGGGAAATATATTAGTTTGCCATGCCAGGCACATGGCAGATTGCTTTAAAAATACATATTTGTCATTTTCTTTTTTTTCTCTAAGAAATTGTGGGGACCTGCTTGGCCCAGGACAAAGGGAACCCGGGTGTGGGAGGAGGTTTGTTGTTGAGGAGGTTGCAAGGCAGTGATGATCCTAGATTTGTGGCCCGGTCCTCTCACCTCTGCAATGGCGAGAGCACTTGTCTCAGAGGTTGTGGATAATAAAGCAGTGTCACCACCCGGCTGGGAAACTGACCCTTCACAGGAGATGACCCAAGGCTCTCGCCTTCAGTGGAAGGAATGGTCCCTTCCCCCACCTTCAGCACCTCCCGGGAAGACTGGTTGCCTTTCCAATTCGGATTGAACTGTTACACCACACAGCCCTGTGAAAACCTGGAGAATGTCATTTTCTTTCTTCCTGCTTTCTCTTGTGTATGCGAGTGTCCGGTGTTTCCCATGCTTAGTTTTGACTCCAGAGGGTTTTAAGTTGAGAATATTTTTTAATGTTTTGGTTCTCCCTCTTTTTCTTTTTTATTAAAGATTTATTTATCTGGTTGAAAGGCAGAGTGACAGAGAAAGGGGAATCTTCCATCCACTGGTTGTCTCTTCAAATGGTCCCAACAGCCAGGGCTGGGCCAGGCCCAAGAGAGGAGCCTGGAACTGGGCCTCCCACATGGGTGGCTGAGCCTGAGTGGGCAGTCTCCCACTGCTTTCCCAGTCGCATCAGCAGGGAGCTGGTTCACAAATGGAGGGCAGCCGGACTTTAGGCTTTCAGATGGGGGTTGTTGGCGTTTTAACCTATCCCATGCTGCAGTGCTGGTCCTTCCAGGTTTTCTTTTGAGTCTGCTACTAAGATTTTCCTATTACAGAAATAATCTTGGAATGCCTCTACTCTCCCAAAAATAAAAAAAAAAAGTTTTAAGGTAGGGAAATTTTCTTTATGCACAGGAAATACTAAAATCATGCACATATTTGCTGTTACACGTTCAAGTACAAAAGTTGCAATTGAGCTAAAATAATCCATTTCTGATAATGTCCTATTGAAAGTTTGATTTGGCTAAATCTAGTTAGTGCTGATATGCTGGGTGGAAGTAGCTCTTATCGGGAGGCTTTGCACTTCCAGTCTACCCCTCCTTCTCTACCAATTAAGAAAATTGTTTACCATTAATCTTCTTTAATTAAAGTAGTTCATTTGGTTCACATTTCCTGGAAATCTTTAAACCTTGCAGGTTTTTTTTTT